ATCTGCCGCCAGCTGCTGCTCCTGGGGGCCCTCGACGCCCCCAGGATCCCCCAGAAGCCCCCCCAGGCCACGGGGGGCGCCCCCGCCCGCTTCCTGCTCCTCCCGCCCTTCGCCAAAGCGCCGCCGGCGCGCTCCGGCATCGCCGTGGCCTTCGCGTCCGCGCTGGGCCCCGTCTCGGTGCTGGGGCCGGCGCCGGCCTCGGGGTCTTCGTTGGGCCCGGCGTTGGGTTCGGGGTCTTCGTTGGGCCCGGCGTTGGGTTCGGGGTCTTCGTTGGGCCCAAAGTTGGGATCGGGGTCTTCGTTGGGCCCGGCGTTGGGTTCGGGGTCTTCGTTGGGCTCAAAGTTGGGATCGGGGTCTTCGTTGGGCTTGGGGTCCTCCTCGGGCCCAAAGTTGGGTTCGGGGTCATCATCGGGCCCAGCGTTGGGTTCGGGGTCTTCGCTGGGGTCAAACTCGGGCTCGGGGTCTTCACTGGCCCCGAAGTTGGGTTCAACGTCAACGTTGGGCCCGAAGTTGGGTTCGGGGCCGTCGTTGGGTCCAAAGTCTTCGTTGGGCCCAAAGTTGGGTTCGGGGTCTTCGTTGGGCCCAAAGATGGGTTCGGGGTCAACGTTGGGCCCAAAGATGGGTTCGGGGTCAACGTTGGGCTCAACAACGTCACCGTTGGGTTCGACGTTGGGTTCGACGTCATCGTTGGGTTCGGCGTCATCGTTGGGTTCAACGTTGGGTTCGATGTCATCGTTGGGTTCAACGTTGGGTTCAACATCATCGTTGGGTTCAACGTTGGGTTCGACGTCATCGTTGGGCCCCCCGTTGGGTTCAACGTCATCGTTGGGTTCAACGTTGGGTTCGACGTCATCGTTGGGTTCGACGTCATCGCTGGGCCCCCCGTTGGGCTCCCCGTCGCGGCACGGCTGCGGGTTCTGCGGGAAGCCCTTCGGCAGCGCCAGCGCGCGGCAGATCCACCTGCGCTCCCACACCGGGGAGAGGCCCTTCCGCTGCGACCTCTGCGGCGGCCGCTTCACCACCCGCGGCAACCTCAAGGTGCACCTGCGGCGCCACCGGCAGAGGGGGCCGGCCGAGAGCAGGGAGGGCGCGGTGGAGGTGAGTGGGGGAGGGGTGTTGGGGAGGGGTCTGGGGGTCATTGGGGGGGTCAATGGGTCATTGGGGGGTCAACGGGTCAAGGTTGGGTCAGTGGGTCTAGGTTGGGTCAATGGGCCAAGGTTGGGT